TAAATTGCAGATCAATCGATTAATCGCAGAGCACGACCACGGCCACTGGGTCTGCCGTGTGACGGAAGAGAGCCGTAAGCGGAGTTTGCGGTGAGCCGCGAGCCACATAAACGCATATGCTATACACGGCCCATCACAGAAATGAACTTACGGCAAGGGTGTCGAGAAGTCGGATATAAAATCGCTTCCGCGCAACCAGCACCGGAGCCTCGACGTCAGGCGGAGTTCACCTTTCCGCCCTCTAATTTCCTCACCCCCTAATCACCTGATTAATCGTACGGATGGATACATTGCCGTGCTAAGGAAGAACGCCGTATGAACCTCCAGGCATTGCCAAATTATCTTTGATAAAACACAAATTCCTTGGCAAACTTATGAATATTTTCCTTCCAATTTTTCAGAGAATTTTGTTCGTATTTTGGACTAAAGCTCCTGAAAATTTCAAGGAAAAATATTCATAATTTTCCTAAAAAATAAACATTTTATTGAATGAAATTTGGCAATTCTCGAATGTTCATACGGCGTTCTTCCTTAGCACGGCAGTACAGCACCTTGCTCTCGTGTTTGGTCTGCTCGAGCGGTTCGCAAAGGGACGCGCGTTCGCGAGCACATTCACCGCGGAATTGCGAGTGGGACCGCCTCAAAAGCGCGCCGGCATAAATCATTCTTTTTCACGGCGATGCGTTAAAGTAGCAATTTGTTACGCCAACTTGTTCCCGTTCAATCAACAAGCTCCCGATAAAGAGAGAAGCGAGGAAAGCAGGCGACTCCTGTTCGCAACGCAGTTTCCAAGGAGGTTGTATGTTGTCATGTCACTTGATTAGCGACGTTAGAATTGGTCGCGCACATTATTCAACATGTCATTTTAAACGATCAACTGTTTTCTAAAATCATGTGAATCTCATAATGGGCCAGTTACGCTGGTTACAGAATCATGTATTGATGCTTAATTCTTGTAGATCAGCTAAAAATAATAAGATCTATCAAAACAACATTTTTCTGCGTTCTATATTAACCGAGAAGTAGCGCTTTGAAAAGTTTGGTTTGTGACGTTATCAACCGCAGTAGTGACATCCTTAGTTTCTTCCACCTTGCTTCCATCAGTCAAAGAGACGCACATTTACATTTGTTACCTGACGTTAAACTTGGATGAAAGCAAGGTGGACGAAGCCAAGGGTGTCACTACCGCGGTAGATGACGACACAAACCGAATTTTTCGAAATGCGATACATCTCGGCTAAACGAGATATTCACAAGCGCTTTCAACATAGATCAAATTGGGAAACAGAGTCATTAGGATATTTGCCATTTGATCAATGTCGATACCCAAATGAAATTTCAATGTATTCAAGTCGCAACGCCACAATATAAGAACTGAATAAAAATACTTATTGGAAGTAAGTAAAACTCTATTTTCAAGAATTTTTTCGTATATTTCAAACCTACCTTAACCTTCGTTTTTCCCCCCGTGGAACATAATTTGAAATTCCTTAAGCTAATTCTTCAAAAATCTCCTTCTGCGGCAATTTCAAACGTTGACTTTCAAGACTTTCGTTGGGTGATTCGCTTTCTTATACAATTTTGAAGGAAGAACATGTTGCACAGTGCTTTATTACATACCTTGTCTAGAGACCCATTATTCTTGAGACATTTTATGTCATCATGCTAGTAATTTTTCTTATCTAAAATAGAGAAAACCAAACGTAAAAACTGAAAAGACGAATATTTTCTACGTGCGGTTTCCACGTCATACCTCCAAATCCAATTCACTTCAAATTTTTCGACTAATTCCAATCTTTGGTCGTCTGTTTTGTCATGCGTAATTCTATATATAGATTGACTGAGATAGAAATGTGGTAGATTTTACCATACTTTGACACAGTGATATAAGTGTGGTAAGGAACACTAGACTCTATGGTAGCATTTACCATGTTATGGTAAAAAAACATCGGAGTTATGGTAAATACTACTGAAATTCTGGTTATTTCCAATAAAAAGTATCACTGTGTAAAAAATCAAGTAGCCTTGTAGTTGATGTTACCATACTTTTTTGTCAGCGATAAGAGACGACATTTTAAAATAGAGATGGTAAGTATTGTAAGAAACACTAGACTCTAAGGTAGCATTTACCATGTTATGGAAAGTGACATCAGAGTTATGGTAAATACTACTGTAATACTGGTTATTTCCACTAAAAAGTATCACTGTGTAAAAAATCAAGTGGCCTTGTAGTACATGTCACCACACCTTTTTTTCAGCGATAAGAGACGACATTTTCTGCGGGAAACGGACCCGATCCAATTTTCGTCGGCCATTTCCAATCCTTGCTCTTCAAAAAAAGTAGACCCCTCGGGCCAACGTCTTTTTCGTCAGGTAAAATTAAGCGACAACGTGGCTGGGGCGCGCGGCAGCGAGCTACGCGCCGTAACTTCGTTTAACAGTGAATGATAATGAAAACGAAACAGGTATTCGAGAAGTCATTCAAGCCGCGGGGCCTCCTCCTTATCACCCTCCCTCCTTTCACTCGAAAATCTATTTAAACTCCGCATCCACGTCTCATCGAGCTTTTAACGAAAGTTTAACTTGCCGAGCTTTTATAATTATCTCGCTTCTTGGAGACTCCCAGGATCGAAGGCGCNGGGGGGGGGGCGAGGGGCGGGAGGCACTCGAAGGCGACGAAGCGCTATTATCAGCAGCGTCAAGGGCGTCGAGAGATTTTTATACGGCGCGGAGTCTAGGAGGAAGGCAAGGATGAAACTGGGCGTAACCACTAAAAATAGTGCCAAATGAGATGATTTCGATTGCAAGTTGTAAATATAAAAAAGTTATAAAATGTTGTAAACTAGGAGAATCGAGTCTTTCAAATTCTTGGCTAAAAGAGAGGTATCGAAAAGGGCCATTTTGGGCATACCCTATCTGAATCTCCTCAGTTCTTATTCGGGGTTTTGCTCATTGAAGGTCTATATTTTACGGTACGCATCATGATTTGGTCATTGACGGTCTCTTTTCAGGACTGGTACTGACCTAAAAATGGGTGTATAAAGGTTGATTTTGGCAATAAATGCGGATTGTTTGGCATTCGGCCGAAGACGCGTAAAACTCGCATTTCCCGCAAAAAAAAAAAAAAAAAAAAAAAAAAAAAAAAACATGTTTGGACCCAGAATAGAATCGTAAAAAGACTAAATCATGAAAACATTCTGAGAATTTTATTTCGGGTCTTTTAACGGATTGTTTGCGTAGTTTTTATTCATGTTGCAACGTTCAGTTGAGAAAACCCCCGTTGTGTCCTGATTATTTTTTCTAGTGATGACATGGCGGTCATTTTCACATGGTAAAAATCCTGAAGACAGGGTTAGATTGTTGCAGGCCACTACTGCTGCCCTTTGCAAAGAGGCTGTAAGTCGTTTTCTGTTTTAAAGATATTATGCGGTAGCTCCAATAATGGCCTATGCCGGAAAACCTTGTATGGAGGGAATCGCGTTTGAAGTTTTCAACGGATTTTTTGGTTGGTTTACGGTTTCCACTTTTCCTATAGGGTAATTTACCGTACTTAAATATCCTTACGACGGGTCTCGAAAGCCCGGCTTAGCGCTTCTGATTAGCCGGAGGTGCGGTTTGTTCTCATCGATGAATGTTGCACTCCGTGTGAAAAAGCCGACAAAATTCGGCCCCAGGACAGTGCCTTCGTACTCAAGGGTCAATGACTTTCCAATCCTTGATTATAAACAATGTACACGGGTCAGCAAGTCGTTGCAGGTGAAATGCCTTCAATTTAGAGAATATGCATTATGCAATCCTCAAATGGGCGGGCCTTTTTCAACCGCCAGCACCCCGGGCCCCTGAACGCTAATCCGGCCGTGACTGGGTATTATTCTGTATCTTACCTGACTTGGGTCGGGGATGCAGCGGCGTCATCGTTGCGATTCAAGGGGGATCTGACGATCGAGGACGAAGGACACGTAACCGCACTTCTCAAAAAAAAAGCTGATGTATCGCCTTAAAGATTGGCAATCTGTGGCTAACTCTGAAATTGAGATCTCCAAGCCCAAGTATAACGATAATGGCGCCATTTGAAGGAATGGGGCCAATTCTGCAGAAATTTTCGCCACTTCAATCAAAGATGTAGCATACTGTTATAATCCTGATGGTGTCCGAACGCCGAATTTTGTTGATTTTACGTAACGCACTTTTTCAGCATTTTTGACCCGCCTCCCACCCCACCCCTACCCGCCCCTCTTGTAACGCTTTTGTAACGTATGCCCCTATCCATTAACTGGTAAAAAAAATGACGTATACCGCTCCTTTCGACCCCCCCTCCCTCCTAGAGCGTTACGTAATTTAGGGACGGCCCCTTGGAGATGGTGCAACTTGTGAGCTCACCTCCGAGCTGAAGTTCGACGGAGGCTTGAGCAGTTTCTCCGTAAACCCCATTTCCCCAGAAGCGTTACGCAATGGAGATGTTGCATGTGTGAGGGATTTGCGATTTGACTGCTGTTTCATAAGTAAAATTTCGGGAGAAACACGATGGTGCCACTGGTTTTCTCTGAAATCATCTCCCAAGCTCAAAAAAAGCTATCAAAGTGAGGCCAAAATGGAGAGGATATCCCGCCCTACCCTGAGAGTCCACATCTACATAAAAAAAAACTCTCCGTGAAAAGATAGGAAGCAAATACATTAGCAGGGTTGCCATGTTTTCAGTTTTGGAGTCCCCAAATAAAGTGGCAGCCCTGTCAATGTATTTGCTCCCTATCTTTGCATGGAGAGTTTGTTTTGATGTAGAGGTGGACTCTCAGGGTAGGGCGAGATAACCCCTGCTCCATTTTGGCCTCACTTTAGAAGCTTTTTTGAGCTTGGGAGACGATTTCAGAGAAAACCGGTGGCACCATCGTGTTTCTCGCGAACTTTTACGTAAGAATCAATGGTCAAATCGCAAATTCCTCACACATGCAACATCTCCATTTGGGACGGCCCCTTGGAGATGGTATAAGTTATGAGCTTACCTCCGAGTTGAAGTTCGGCGGAGGCTTGAGCGGTTTCTCCTTCTGCCCGTCGGACTAGACACTGGTACATGCCTCGATCCTCACGGCCGACGCTGCTCACGACGAGACTGTCTCCGGTCACCCTCCCGCTGGATCCGCTCAGGATGGGCCGCCCGTCCTTGTACCAGCCAATCAGGTGCCCTGAGTACCCGCTCCCCGAGACGACGCATTTGAACTCGGCAATCCCACCGATGTGCACCTACGCGAGAAAATTACACATCCAGGTGAGTACAAGCAATATGAAGAACTTTCGCACCTTTTTATTGGTACGGGAAGAACCCCGATTTATTGTTAGGGCATCTCTCAACCAAAGTTATGAGCGACGAAACAATCCCAAAAAGTCCAATGTTGCGCGTCGTTGAGCCTAATTGATAATCAATGATGGTAGTTTTAAACCTCGAGAATTATATTTTCATTTAATTTTTAAGTAACAAGGTGGTAAAATAGCCCTGGCAAAAATTGGCAGTAGAATCTGTGCTCCAAAATACCATAGACCTACAGCCGACTGTGAGATTTCCAATTGCTTCTATAGCCGGCAACACAATTTCTTATAGCCTTTTATAGCCGATGGCGATTAGGCAACAGCCTGACGATAAAGTTTATGCTAAACGTTACTAATTCCGGATGCTAGGACTTAGTGAGTTTTTGGACTACCGCTCTCTTTTTGGGCCGTACTATCTTGATTTATTTTGCGAGGGAAGCTCCGTACTTTTGAAGGATGCCTGCCATTCCTAATATGTTGGAGCGCTTCAATTTCGTACGATACTGTGCAGTACCTCTGGTGTGAAATAGTTGCTTCAAGCGCCGTGATACGCTGCGGCGCAGCGCGGCGGGAGGGCAGCCAGTGCGGAACGCGCATTGGCGCCTACGAACCCAACAGGGATACTTCACGCATTGCGCAGTGCGTGAAGTATCCTTGTTGGGTTTGTAGGCGCCAGTGCGTCGCCGCTCCGCTTTGTGGTAGGCTCTAATATTTAATCTCGTGGAGTCAGCGTTGTTCAACTCATGACTTTGAAATGTTTGCACCTGTATGGATTATTCTCATTTTAATTGATGAAAACAAATAGTTAGTTAGTTAGTTATTATAATTTTGAGACATTCAGCGACTCAGGCTATTAACGTCTTTACAGGTAATTTTGAAAATAGGAGTGTAAACGAAAATTTAGATTTTTAAATTAAGAGAGGTGAAGAGTTTCAGAATTTTGGTGGCAATATTAGGTTCATCATTAAGAGAGGTGAAGAGTTTCAGAATTTTGGTGGCAATATTAGGTTCATCGCATGTAAGAGGGTTTGTATTTCTTGTAGTAAAGGAAAATATAATGTGCGTTTTGTAAATATTATGGTGATTCCGTGCAAACTTGCAGATTTACAAAGTACACAAATTTCTACACAATTTCTTATAGCCTTTTATAGCCGATGGCGAAAAAGCAACAGCCAGGCGATAAAGTGCAAAGCCCGGCGACAAGAACTATAGCCCGGCTGTTTAATTGTTTATCGCTTCGTGTAGCCCGGCTGTAGGATTTTTTCCACTTTCTACAGCCAGCTACATGATTTTCTATCGCCTTCTTCAGTCGGCTATAAAAACTCCTATGGTATTTTGAAACGCAGCTCCTATCGCCAATTTTTACCAGGGAGTGCGGGGTCCACAATACTTTCCGATTATTTAATGGATAATTTGCACGCAAATTTTTGATTGCGTCCACTAAGAGTGCTTTAAGAGCTGACTTCGCAGTATTTTTCAAAAAAAAAAAGAAAGAAAGAAATTGATCTGGAAATGGCAAAAAATAGATTTGAAGATGAGATAATGCACCGCCAAAGGACGTCATCCGACAGCAGTTTCCATTTAACCACACGTATTTTAGAAGCAGAATTGCTTTGCTTGTAAAAAATGTAGTTGCTTATTTGTAGTTAGTGCTTGTATCTGCATTTTTATGCATTATGTAGTTTCATGCTCTTGTGTAATTCTGTACCTTGATGATGACCGGTGTGGTTGAAAATCCTCGGCTAAGTGAAACGTAATTTTCACATAATACTAACACAGCGTAAGGCAGTTCTGCTTCTATTTTTTTTATTAATTTTGTCATTTCTCCTCCGATGATTGTTCAATGTTTAAACCAAGGGGGTGTTTAGTTTACTCGGTAGTTCCTTAATGGATACAAAATTCATCAAATTTCAGACACCTGCGTATTCTCCATTGGGCTCAAGCCTTGTTTCCCACAATTTTTTATTGTTGTTGTTTCATGTCATTCTTCGGGCTACTGTAACTAAAATTTCTGATATGATATTGATAAATCAATATAATGACGTTGTAGTAATTTCCAATGAAGCCTTGTTTCCCGGGATTTCTTATAGTTGTTGTTTCATGTCATTCTTTGGACTACTGTAACTAAAATTTCTAATGTGATATTGATAAATCTATTTAATGACATTGTGGTAATTTCCACTTACGGAGAGGACGGCGGGAACGACCTGGACGTGGAGTGGAGCCAGGACGTTGAGGCGGAGTTCGGCCTGGGCCTCGCCGGCAGGATTGGAGGCGGAACACTTGTAGAGGCCGGCGTCCTCGCTGGTGACGGCCTTGATGGCCAGCACCGGCCCGGCCACCCTCACGCGCACCCGTTGCTCCAGCATCAGCGGCTCCCCGCCGGGCCCCATCTGAAACCACCTGCAACACCGACCACCCTTCAAATATGCATCTTCACAATGTTACAAGAACCATACTTCATTATTGCATTCCTGCCGTCATAGCCAAGAGAGCAGTAAGCCTTAAAATGTCGAAATCGAGTTTCCTTAAAAATTCGCCTGATCTCTTTTAGATGAAATCACTGAGATAGCAAAAACATTAAAATTCATCTGAATTTTATGAAAGCAAGACTTATGAGGAAGCCGCAAGTGCGCAAAAAATGACGTAGTTTCAGGCATAACAGCCGTGAATGACATTATACCTCCAGAATCAATGAACAATGCGTTTAAGTACAGTCCCGATTTCTAAACTGAAAATGTGTTTGTTGAGCGTCCAAAACACAACCACGAGAGTATGCCGAAGATAGCACTTACGGCTGTCTTGCCTGACACTAGCCTAATATGAAAATGAAAAATACCCTTTTAAAATCATTGAAATTTTATTTTTATTTTATTTTTCCGATTAAGTACATACAGAAGCTGAGTTTTAGCTTATGGTACGTATCAAATGTGGTTTGCACCTATAAAAACTTGATTTCAACACATGTCATAAGTCGAACACATGACACATTCAACACTCATGGAGTAATAAGTCGATTTTTAATCACCCCAACGATTTTTAAGAGTCTTTCGGATGATTAATGGCAATTTGACAAGGAACGGAGGCTTCTTTCAATACAATTGTCCGGTCAGACGCTTCTGAGTCCGTTTTCTCAGAACTTCATTTTTGCACTTACTGCTCTTATCGTTATCACGGCAGATTGGATCCAGGTACAGTAGTCTCTCTCTATAGCGACTATCGTTATAACGAGAACCTCTCTGTGGCGAGGAAATTGGTAGATCCCTTCAACTTCCTTTATCGTAAAATCAACAACCAACAATGGGGCTAAGACCGGAAAATGAAATATAAAATGAAAAACCGGGACGTTTCGCAGTTATCACAACTGCATTTTCAGCCTGAAGGGAAAAATTAGGAAGAGCCTCAAACTTCAGAACTGTAACGAAATGACAGCGATGAGGCTCAGTGTGAGTTTGAGTTACTTCTTAATTTTCCTTTTTTAATTTCCGGTTGCGATACAGTTGTGATAACTACAAAACGATTTGTTGTTTTGTGTTTTATTTGCGGCCATAGTCCCATTTTCAGTTGTTGATTTTGTATTATTATTTTGGGCCAAATGAGTTGTTTTTTATTCCTTCCTGTATCAAAAATATGTGTTTTCTTCGCCCGACATAACGAACTTGGCAACGGAACAACTCTTTCTCTGTAGAGAGCGGTCGTCGACCTGGCTAATGAGTCAAGGTGCAGGTTCATACCTAGAAATTTGCCCTCTCAAGAGCGTTAACAATGATTACTGCCGTTGTTTACGAGTTTCCAACGGCTGGTAAATCAGCGCATTTTCACCAGAGGTGCGGGCATAGTGTTGACCGCTTGTAAATGAACAATTAGATTTTGAGTATTTTTTCCATTTTAATCGATTACAATCCATACAGAGTGCAAAAACGTGAAATACGCTGACTCCGCGAGTTAAACTAATCGTGCCGAACACTGTGCGGTCGGCACACAACGCATTTGGCGCCTACAAGACTGCATGAATACTTCACGCATTGCGCCAACAAGCACAAGGCGGTCGGCGCGGAGCATATTAGCGCCTACAAGACTATAGGAAAACTTCACGCATTGCGCGTTCACTACGGTGCGCGTTTTGATTGATGAAAATTCATGATTTCTCGGTGCCACACCTTCCGTTCAGTGTATACCATTTCCGACCGGTGCACACCGCTAGCCTGTAATCCTACCATTGAGGGATTGTAGAGTTTTACACTCCTGAATAGTATGCCGTAGTCTAATAAGTCATTATTGTCGGAGTTTATCCATCCGTCTTTTTATGATTAATGAGAACCTCTCCATAGAAGGGACATCGGTCGGTCCCTTGAGTTCTCTTAAAAGAAAGAGAGGTTACTGCATATTGCAGTTCCACTTGGACTACACTTTGCGAAGAGGAACTAAAATTTCTGGCTTGCTTCAGAAACAACATATGTGCCATTACTTTCCCTATGCAGATAAGTGTTTTTATCTATGCACCAGGAGTCCCATGCAGCTAGAGAGCTCGATTTTCAGCATTCTTTCTTATCTAATACTGAGGTGTAGTTACTAATGGTACTGCGATTTACTATATTTTTTCGTGTGTGCTGAAGCGTTGACGCGCTGCTCGTCATGTAGTTGCCGAGAAAGAGTTTGTTTTCAAGCTCAAAGTTCATTTTGGGCAACGCTTGAGTTGATGGCGACTGTCTCTTTGAAAGTGGACTTCACGTCAATCGCCGAAGACTCGCTTGCGAGTTGAAAGTCTGCCAACGAGAAAGCACTTCGCGACTGCAAGAGCTTCAAAGTTTCTCGAGTAGCAAAACATCAACTTAATCTCAACTCTGCATCTGCATCCGCGCTGCCGAACTAACTAAGAATTCTCAGTTACTTACGGTATTTCTGAAAGGAGAAAAATTACTTGAATAGCTCCAGGTAACGTTTTTCCAGTAGGTAAAACTATTATCGTTGCCGTAAAACTGAATGATGAAGAAATCGTTATTATAAGAATCCTTTTTTCAACCTCTTACTCTCACACATGTCGACGGTGAAACTACCAGACCACGTATCTTGCTTTGCAATGTTACAGACTTCCTGTCATACTTTATTTTTTAAATAGAAAACCACTCGACGTTGATTCTTGAAAACTTCTATCATTTTTCTTTCCCTTGCGAAGAAAACTCTAAAAACTTGAGAATGGAGTCAACTCTCAAACTTCCTTGATTTATTTTTCTTTAAAACCATTAATTGGGAGTGGAGATTTTCAAACGCCGCAAACAAGATATATGTCGCAGGCAATTAGCAATCGCCGGCAATTTGCAAGCGGTTCACACGTTATTTCAATAAATCGCAATAATGCGCATCGGCATAATGCAATTTTTAAGATTATGGTCTTCAAAAGTATGAGCTCGGCTTGAAGCGCCTTCATTTTTTGTGATACTCTACGCTTTGTCACTGCGTTAGTTTAGTTGCCTGTCCGATCTCAACCCAACTAATGTCACGGAGTTTACTGCACTCTCTTCTGAATGTGCATAATTCTGCCATGTTTTAAGGGTGGAAAAGTGCCTATTCACATTATAGGCAACATAATCAGCACTGTAATCTGGTTCTTTTATTTCAGAATTAATTTTCTACATTCATTCACCACTGGCTTGTAAATTGCCGGCGATTGCTAATTGCCTGCGACATATACGTGGTCTGGTAGTTTCACCGGCGACATAGGTCTCCTTGAGATATTGATTTTTTTATATGGCTCAGATGGATTTATAAAATTTCCAGGCTTTCCACGATTCATTTTCTCTTCGATCATAAGGTAATAATGACCACTGATATCCTCGCTTGCGATAATCTTGTTTCAGCTAACTATCAATCCTGGTCTTTTCATAATTCTACGAAAAAAAAAAAAAAAAATTATCACCCGACTTTTAAAAGAATGACGGGAATCTATTTGCATTAATCATGCCTTAACTGCGACACATCGACAAAGAAAGGTTCGAAAGTCTAAGTTCAAGTCACGACCAATTTAAGGGTTCCAACAGACCGAACAAGTAAGTAAATCTTGAAAAGTCTCAGACGGAAAAAATTAAACTCTGTGAAAAACGGAGAGCCAGAAGCAGTTGAGTGACTTCTATTTAAAAAAAATCTTAAAGAAAACCCCTTGAAAATATCTGAATTTGAAATGTAGGCCAGAATCACTACAACAATTCGTTCTTTAAATCAGTCGGATGGATGTCAGATGTGCCGAACCGGACTGTAAAACAGTTTATTTAAATACCGTCTCTTTTGAATCGGGATTTTCCGTTGACGTGGCAACCCTAACTCGGAAACTTCTGACAAGAACACTTGTCATTTTTGCTCCGTCAAAGTTGTCTCGCTTGTCGTGTATCCAAGCTCTCCAAGACGAGTGATTTTTAGCCGGCAGTAATGAATGGTTACTAACATTGGACGAGTAAACTAACGCACGAAACTAGTCTCGGAGCCCTCGCCATCCAACAGCAGAAGTTGCGGGTCGCCCCGGCGTAAAACTTCAGAAAACCGCTGCACAGATAACACGGCCAGACAGTCGTTCACGATCCTTAAAAGTTCAAAAAATATTGAGCCCTTGGCTATCTGCACTTAAGGTTGAAATTGTCGTCTTGTAATTAGATGGAATTTTGCCATGTAGCCCGCTCTGTTTAGTAAATCTGTGAAGCTAAATTACGCGGGAGTTGCATCAAGTAATGAAGTAATGCCGGCACCTTCTAACTTTATTTTCAGAATCAAGAACCCTGTGTCCAGTGTCCGGTAGCCGCAGCCGATACAGTGAATGTTTCTAGTTCTAGTGCCTTTTACAGTGATTCTTCTCAACTTATTTTATATCGCGAGCAGCCAAATTAATTGCCTTATTGGCGATGAATGCTGAGCTATTGAAGGACTTGCTGGACGATTCGTTTGAATATCCTGATTTCTCAGACGTTTCTGAAACGGACACTTCTGAATGCCGGTCAACCTCTGGAATGGAGTCCATTTTTGGCTCATTGTCTCCCGAGAAGGAATGTAAAGTAAGTCGAACACCTAAGTATCGATTATTTTTTCAAAAAATTTTAAATGACGAGAAAGAGACAATTCAAGATACCATCTTGCAAATCGGAGAGACTTTTAAATGGATAGAAAGTACTTTTCAAAGTTGGAATTACACAGTATATGGTAAAAAATACCTTACAAGAACAAGGTGTATGTATTCCCCTTGGGGTTAAAGATATTGGCGGGATCACCGTCACTAAAAGAACCAATTAATGTAAAAGATACATTTCGCAGAATACGCATGTTTTTATCCTGCTTAGGAAGGTTTTAACATTATTCTTTCAGCAAGAAGGTCTTCTTGAAAGTGTCATGAAATATTTGCAAAAGTTACATAATGATGA